ATGTACAATACCTTGAATCTCTCCCATCATTTCTTTCACTTTCACTTCCATAAGAGGGTCCATACACTTATTCTTAAGCTTACCGATAGCAGATCTATAACCAAATCCTCCCAGAACTACTTTGGCAGCACTGATATCCTGCCAGTAGATGTTGAATGTTGCATCGTCCACAGATGCTTGGTTGGCATGGCTGTATACATCATCATTGAAGTACTTTAGCCTGACTATGTTGGCATCCTTGCTAAAATCAAAGTTAAGTGGTAGACTATCCCATCCAGTCCTGGGAGGAGTCAACGCACGGATATTCCTCAATAGCGCATGCAGTAACACAACATCAAAGTTTGCTGATGAAACAGATGATGGAACAGTCGGATACAGCTTTCCCCGTTGTGTAAAACTCATGACTCTCCTCTCCTATAGAGACTGTAATGCAGCATGCTCTGCATGATGCCTGAAGACTGAGTGAAGTTCTACTGGAGGGTGTATGGTATCAAAAGTGTCTCTTAAGACGGGGGATCCAACATCGACCAGAAAGCGACAAAGTCGAGCATAGTTGGTTGTCTCCAGGGTAGAAGGTAATAATGGTGCGGGTGATGATGTCATTGGCTGTAAAGGAAAATGAATTCACCCGCACAGCCTGAGATGTAAAGGTCAACGTGTTCTTAACGAACTTATCCTAACCATAAAATGGTACTCTTCATATTTAAAGTAATGCAATTTTCAAACTTCTGTGATTGAGGAACGGCATGATTCAAAACAGCAGCTAGTTTACATGAATTTATACACTCTGATGTACCACTTTACTTTCACCTTACTACACAATTCAAGCAATCTTTTGAAATTCCATGTTTTACATTTTTTGAATAACTATATATTTCAAAAAGTAGCAGACCTGTCATCCCAACATGGTCAATTGCTGATTGTCTCCACACGAGGCCAAGAAGAGAGGATGCTTGGCAGAGGAACATTTCCCCCGTCCCCCTCTGCCCCCTCCAATTCCCCTTACTCTAAATTATCTATTTAGCTTCCTTTTTATCAAGGTATTTGACTCACCGTGGACATCAAAAGGGAATAACACTATTAAAAGAACTCACTTATAATGAAATTTCCCAACAAAATAAGTTAGCCACCAACATGGACACAAGACCTAGTACAGAATCAAGGGATCAGTAACCAATCTCCCGAAGAAAACAAGGTAAATCAATACTTCAGAGAGTATAAAAGGAAAGCGGACGATTGTGAACGCGAAAAAAGAATACAGGACAACTGCTATTAACCAGTCACCAAACAAGCCGGCTTATTTGCAGATGTCACACGTTTGCTCCTTTGTTACATGTACCACTGCCGAGGCAAACAAGCCAGACTAGCCATGCACTAAAATACATAGATCAAAGACTTAATACACAGAGAGAATTTTCCTTGCTCTTCCATCCACAATCAAGCTAAAGGAGCCACCCTATTCATGTATATAGTTTATGTAATGATGACTCTGATTTCCACCACAAATCAGAGTCAATGTGCCAGTTTTTCGATAA